GCGGTGGAGGGGTCAGGAGAAGGGCGTCCTCCGACTGGTAGGCTTCTCATTGCTACACTCATTTCCCAGCCTAGCTACCCTTGGATCCCAGCACTCAGCCAAGGGGGTGGGGGAGCCTCAGGCATAATTAAAATGCAATCATAATAAACAAACACTAATTAAAGCGTCCCAGAGTGTCCCATTAAACTCTGAGTCAGCCCTGACAAAGTGCCGCCTTGACTCAGTGGATGCTCTGCCGGAGAAAGCTCGAGCTGCTTCTTGAGCTTCTTGAGACCACTCCCATCCCCACCCCTTCCTGCCCCACCCCACCCAGTCCCAAAGCACGTGCCCGCCTGTCACCGGGGCTGCCGGCTGAAGCCTCCAGATTTCCGAGATTCGAACTTGGTCCTTTAGGGCCTCCATAGACTCAGAGTTATCAGGGCCAATTCCTCCCTGGGCAAAGAGCAGTCCCCAGAATGCCCCCTTCTCCTGCTCCCCGAAAGCAATCTCCTTCCTTCCGTAGCCCCAAAGCCAAGTTTTATTCCATTTCTTCCTCTCCTGGGGACCTGACATTTAAAAAGACTCTCCCAAGGAGTGAGGTTATCTGCATCCGTGGTTCCCAATTTTTCGGTCCTAAGAATAGCTGGAGAGCTTGTTAGAACTATCGCTCAGGCCCCATCCCAGAGTTTCGGACTCAGTGGGCCCTGGGTTTTCTCGTCTCGTAGGGTCACAGGTCATGCCAACAGGGCTGGGTCCAGACCATGCCATCTCGTAAGCTCACAGGTCATGCCAACAGGGCTGGGTCCAGACCATGCACGGAGAGCCATTGCTGCTTGAGAGTTCCTGGGCCCCCTCTTTCTGGAGGACATTCTTCTGGCCACGCAGTGGCAGTCTGGAGAGCTCAGCCACTTCATACGTCCCCAGGCCCATGGTCTTCCCTGTCCTTCCCAGCTTAAGCCAAACCTGCCTCTCCAGGTTTATACCCACCGCTCCCTCACTCTCACGCAGGGTTTGCTGAAGAAACTCTGCTCTCCCCGTGACTCTTTCCACCTGGAGCGCTCTCCATCTGTGTCAGTATGATTCACCCTTCAAGACTCAGGCCCTCGCCTTGTTTTCTCACAGAACCTGCTTGGGACTCCCATCTAGAGCAGCACTGGCCCAGAGAAACAAAGCGCAAGCCGCAAATGCAAGCTCCATGTTTACTTGTAACTTTTCTAGCAGCTAGATTTCTAGAAGTCAGAGGAATGAGTAGAATTAATAATAGATTTTATTTAACCCAGTATCTGAAAAAATTTCATTTTTAACATGTGTCAATAAAAAAAGCATTAATGTGATCGTTTACATTTTTTTTTTGCATACAAAATCTTCAAAACCCAGGGCATCTTGTGTCCTTAGAGCACATCTCCGTTTGAACCCACCGCATTTCAGGTGCTTATAAGCACACAGGCTAGCGCCTGTCGCTTTGGACACGGCAGACATAAAAGTATTTTCTCTTTGCTCCGAATCCCCTCAGCTCTCTTGCAATGCCTTAGAGCACACATCACTCTCTTGTCTTTTTCTTGCGGTCTGTTTGCAACTTGAAGTTGTTTTAATGTGCAATTGCTTTCATTCCCCTGAAGTGCCTAGCACTGGCCCCTCTCTGTATGTAGGATGTGATCAATGAATATGGGCTGATGAATGAATATGGAAACACAGGAATATAGAAAAGACAGAGAACCCACAGAAACATCTGACGTGGAGGGTCTCTTCCCAGTCCCAGGGACATTTCTTGCCTCTGGTTTGTGCCTGGCTAGTAGATCTCAGAGGAGAGAATCATTCAAGTTTTAGAACCACCCCCACCCCAGAAGTTTCCTGTTTCACTTTGCTCTTCAACTCAGTGCCTTAAAAAAGAGAGAGAGAGAGAGAAATTCCCACCAGGAGAGCCCAGGAAACAGGAAAAATAGTTGTGCTATTGGTTTCATGTTTGGAGAAGAACAGGGTTCTCACTATCTCCGTGGCACTTGGCGTGAAAGTGGGCTTTGTTGCTGGAGACACTGCTCCCATTCAGGGCCGCCTTCCCCAGCTGCTGAGAGCCGGGCTGTGTTTTGACAGACAGGCCGAATGCAATGCAGACAGTTGTTTTAATTTCCAGCCAGATGCAGACATCACTCACACGGAGCTCGGAACCCAAGAAAAGAAGGCTGGGCCCTGGGCTGCAGTGGCGCTCGGGGCTCAGAGGGCGGGTTGGAGGGGGCCGGCAGAAGCTCCCCGGGCCGTGGGGTCACAGAGATCCTGGAGGGCTGAGAGTTCCAGGCCCCGGAGAGGCAGGCTTTCAGAAAGGTGCTGCTTGGAGGGATCACAGGCCATGAGCCAGAGGTCAAGGGTTACTTCTTAAGGCGATGTGATGATGCCCGTGGCCCAGGGCAATGGCTGGGTGGTCGCTTTTATTTATTTATTTATTTAGTTAGTTATTTTAAAGATTTATTTATTTATTTATTTGAGAGAGAGGGAGAGCGTGTGTGTGCGCGCGCGCGCGCGTGCATGGTGGGGGAGGGGCAGAGGGAGAGGGAGGGAGAGAATCTCGAGCAGGCTCCATGCCCAGCGCAGAGCCCGATGCACGGCTCGATCTCGGGACCCCGAGATCATGACCTGAGCCAGAATCAAGAGTCGGACACCTCACCGACTGAGCCACCCCAGTGCCCCTGGATGGTCTCTTTTAACTGTACCAATTTGTTCGGGGCAGAAATCGTGAACAGTCTCAAGGAGGAGCTAGGAAAACTGAATAGGGAAATAGATTCCCAAAGGTCAGAATGTGAAGGACAAATGCAGCCTCCCTCTGAGGGCAGAAATCCCTCTCACAGCCTTCCAGACACCTGTCACGTTGACTCTGCTTTCGCATCCCAGTGATGGGAGTTCCTTGTAGAAGCGAGGGCTGAATGTTATTGGACAACTTTGATCTTCCTAGTTTGGGCTTTCCTGAAATTTTTCACACATGAGTCCTGTTGTGGCTACATTGCTGCCCTTCAAACATTGGAAAACCACCTCAAGACTCATCTTTTTGGATCTAAATTAACATCCCAGGTCCATCAGCTGCACCTCAGATGCTGCAGCTGGATCCCACCCCGTCCTGACCACTCTTCTGGGAAGGACCTCTGGTTGAATAACACCACTCTTGGAGCTGAGACCTGAGCTGGGCACTCCCCACTGTGGGGTGTCCTCTCTCCACCCTGACACCCTGTCTGTTTACGCAGCCCAGGAGCAAATTGGCCCCTTGAGCTATTATATCAACTGGTCAGGCCATACGGGACTCACACCCTCGGTCTAGTATATAGGAGGTATTTCAGACCAGCCTCCACTCACAGTACCAATTTCTTCAACTGAATTGCAAGATTTGACTGTTATCCTTCCTGCATTTCCTATTTTTGTTATTCAAAGGAGGTTAGGGCTGTTTAAAGCTGATCATGTCCACCCACTTATAGGAAAGCCTTGCGATACGAATATTAGGTGTTAGGATGCGCTAAGAACGAGGAGCACCCAACAAAGAAAAGGAGCCTCCTGGAGCTGGTGCACGAGACCTTTCATCGTCCGGCCCGGGAGTACATGCCTTGACATCTCACCCCGCCCCAGCCAGCCTACACCCTTGAGTTCTGCTGAACTTGTCCATGATCACTTTGGCTTGTGATAATCACTGAGCCGTGCCGTGCCCTTCCGTGTCTCTGCAGCAGCTGTCTCCCACCCTGACTCATGCTTTCTCCAGCGTCCAGTGGCCGCTTCCCCGACAGCTTGTCCTGGGCGCCCCTCCTCCAAGTTCACGCCTGTCCCAGGCGAGGAGCTCCAGCTTTGCAGTTACCAACTCCCCCTGGACTCTGAGCTCTGCGGGGCAGGCTCTGTGTCCTGATGGCTGGTATTTCCCTCTCACATAGCACCAGAGCCTCACTGTGGTGACATATGATAAAGATTTGCTAGATAAGCAGCTAAACTCCGAAGCCTCTCAGGAGGATGCTGTGAAAGTGTCTCGGGCAGATCCTTTGTCGCTCTGCCCGGAGGCAGAACACCATACGGCTGGACCCTGGGTTGTGGGTTTGCACTTGCGATCACACATCCGGTGGGTGGGGGACCTCTCTGCCCTGACAAAGGAGAGCCCAGCCCCAGCCCAGCAATTGGTTTTGCAGCCCAGCAGCCTCCGGCCCCAACCTGCAGCAGTACCTAGTATCGCAAATGGAAGACTTCAATCTTCTGACCCCCTTACCTGGCCTGAATGTCACATGCTGGACAGGTGGTGGTGTCGGGTCCAAACAGGCCCATCTCAAGGCCCTGCAGGGCTCCACGGGGCAACTGGCAGGAGTTCGCTGGGGCTGCATCCTTGGGGTGGGGGACAGGGACTTGATCTGTAAATTCCCACTTTCCCCAGCAAGACGGACTCAGACAGGCAGCTCATCTCTGTGGATGTTCCCATTTAGCCAGACTTTTCAAAGGATGTTAGATTTACTAGAAAAAATTGAATGCAAACATCAGAGAATGGGATAATTGGATCCAGGTGGTATGTTTGGTTGGATGTAAAGAGACTGTGGCATACGATGAATATTATTGGATAGGAAAAGTTTCTCCTTCTCTCCCTTTTAAAATGTTTTCTGTGTGGGCAGGATGTCTCAGCCCAAGCCCAGCTGAAAGCCCTTCAGAGACAAGTTGGTGGCACTCAATAGGCTTTCAACGGAGTCAACCATTTTCACGAACATGGCCAGCTCTCAAAAGGACTTGAGTGGTGGGCAGATAGAGACAGGAAGATTTGCTTCTGCCCCTGGTGAAGGCAAGAAGCAGCCTTGGGCCGGCCACCCCCAGAAACACATTCCCCTTAGCTGTACCCCCATTGCACCAGGCAAACAAATGAGAGAGGCCATTGACTCCTACCCCCCCGCCACCCAGTGTTACCTCTTTTAGGGGTGGTGACAGGGTAACTGCAGGTAGGTGTAGGTGAGTCTGAACACACACCAGCCAGTCATCACTCCCTGATCTAACTGTGCTCTCTCTCATCTCTCTGCCAGATCGCCAGGGTCCCCGTAGAATCCTGTGAGCAGTACACGACCTGTGGGGAATGTCTGAGCTCGGGGGACCCTCACTGTGGCTGGTGTGCCCTGCACAATATGTAAGTTGGGGATCGTTCCGAAAACAGGCCTGGAATGCAGATGACCAGGTGCTTTCCTGGGACTGTTAATGAGGATGTGACCGTGGTTTCCAGGGCAAGGGGAATTTCCAATAATTCTCATCTAGGTTGGAGAGCAGGAAGAGAGGCTACGGGCGGGCAGGGGTCCTTCTTCCCAGCGTCACGCCTTTGCCTCTCATTTCACTTCTAAATTCTGCCCTCCCGGCTGCTCCCGCGTCTGCACCTTGTCAACACTGGCAATGGTAGTGGTACCAGAAGAACTCACCAGGGAAGCTGTAGAATTCTCTAGGTTTCCCCAGAACCTCCTCAGTGCATCCTGCCACCAGCGTGCAGATGGTAGCGCACTGTTGGGGGGCGGGGTGGAGGGTGTGCATCTGGACTCCAGTGAGCTGCTGTGTGACCCTGGATGGTCCACTGACAACTCTGGGCCTCCACTTCCCCAGCGCTGAATAGGGCTAATGCCTACCTCGCAGGTACACTGTGAGGATTAAATGAAATAATAAATGCTTTGGAAATAAGGAAGCCCAGAATAGGCTATACAAATCAAAATAATTATTATGATCTCTGAACCTTTGGGAGGACCCTTCTGGCCTCATTAATTCATGATTTTAAGAAGTCTGCATCTCATTCTAACTAGCCTCACACCCCTATTCAAATACATCCTGGCCATTGAATACCAGTTCAATAGAAATGCAAAATCACACTTAAAGTTCCTAATTTGAAGGGCCTTGGAGGGAGAGAAGAGGGTGAAAACCCAAAGGCAGGACCTGGCTGGGAATTCTGTTCCCCAGTGGAGTTGGAAGCTCCGTGGCTCAGTGCCAGTCAGCAGCGCATCTCCATGAAATGAGCCGGGTTTGGGGGGGGGGGGGGGGGGGGGGGGGGGGGGGGCAGAGTTCAGGGTCCTGCACAATAGCTCTTGGCTTCCGGCCTCTCCAGCAGGTGTTGCAAGGGAGGGAGGGAGGGAAGCAGGCGCCTCACAGATACAAAATCTGGACTGGATTTGAGCCCACAACTACTGGGTTCCCTGCTTGGGTTTGGAGGTAAGAGATTCTCCTCAAGAAGTTTTGCAGAAAATGTTCCTGCCAGAACTGAGGCAGTGAGTCGCCATTTCGGTCAGACAAGATGTGGATGCCCCGGGAACGGCAGAGGTGGCTAGCCATGTGTTTTCCCTCAGTGTGGCTGACGGGCCAGCCCGCTGAATCTCTCGTCAGGAGGATTTCTTCCTCCCAGGACCCTGACTGCTGCCCCCACTCCATGCAAAGTGTCCCAGGCTACCTGCCCTCTTTTTGTGCAGTGCACATGCCCAGCCACACCACCCACTCCCTTGCTCCCTGCCCTGCCCTCCCAGCCTCTGAGCCAGTGGCTCTTCTCACAGGTGGAACACACCCCTTACAGATGGGGGATTGTCATTAATTCAACAACAAGGACAACCGTGTTCCCCAGCTTGTGGTTGAGCCTATTAATCTATCACGGTGCTCGGGTCTCCCGGTGGCCCCACACCACCCCTGTCATCCTCCTGTCTGGGTGGGCTGTGGCTTCTAGAATGACTGAGCCACATCAGGATAGTCTCCGATTTCCTCCGTCCTCTGAACTCCCTACCGGTGGCAGGGAATCCCTCCCACCTCTGGGGCACACCTCTCCTTCCAGCCACTCTGCCTGCCCAAGAGCACTTGGGAACGAACTTTTTCCTCTTTCCACCCAGAGCTTTCTCCTCTTAGGTCCTTCTCGTGGTCAGCAGCCCTCCTGCCATGCCCTTGCACCTGCCACCAGGGGCCTGCCTCGGTAACAGGAAGGAGTTGACGGGCCCACTTGCAGTTCCCAGGCCCACACGCTGGACTGGAGGCAGGGGCCCAGGGAGATTGCTGAAGAGGCTCTGGGTCTGGGTGGATTTGAAACCTTCCTGTCTCTTCTGTTTGCCTCGTTCTTGCAAGTGTGTTAGTGTCTCCAAGGCTATTTATCTCTGTTAGGGCTGTTGCCATAAATAGTATGATAAAAAAGAGCCATTTCAGCGAGTCAATGAGATAAAGGCTCCAGTCAAGAGCTCACTTTAGAGCTATCTTAAGGATTCACTTAAACCTCAATAATTCTTTTCTTTGACAGCATTCATATTTAGATCCATTATGTGCCTGGAAAGGAAGAGGGGAGGGGCGGGGGGACTTTGGGTGGGAATCACTGCCTGATTGTGGCATCTTGTGGTATGTCGGGGGCTAGTTGGTCTGGAGAAGCACCAGCCCTGGAGTGTGTTCCCATGTGACATAGGTGGCGACCAGATGCTCTTGCCCGCAGGCATCACCATGTCCACCTGCTGCCCTGGGCAGAGATGAAGCTGTCGGGAGAGACGGCCACTCCGCTTTCCGATGGAGGCAGCCCTGGCTGCCCCTCCTGGGCTGCCTCTCTGTCTCCAGGCATTATTTCACACCGCAAATATTTATTTAAAATATAGCATGTGACAGGGAGAATATCTCAATGAATAAAACATGGCCCCCGCCTTCAGAGAGCCATTAGTCCAGCCACGAGATCACATGCATGCTGTCCCACACGGTGAAGACCTGTCCCGCGTTTTACATCTTTTTGGAGTAGAGTAATAACATTAGTAGTCATCATTGTTAATATTATTATTATAAGGGCTAAAAAGCCATTTTCTTTTTTTTTTTAGAGAGTTAATTATTTGAGAGAGAGCATGAGAGCGAGGGAGCAGGGCGGGGGGTGGGGCAAAGGGAGAAAGAGAGAATCTCAAGCAGCCTCCCCGCTGAGCACGGAGCCCCACCCAGGGCTCCATCCCAGGACCTTAAGATCATGACGTGAGCCAGAATCAAGAGTCGGAGGTTCTTTTTTTTTTTTTTTTTAAGATTTTATTTATTTATTTGAAAGAGAGGGACAGAGATAGCGACAGAGAGCAAGAGCGGGGAGGAGAGGGAGAAGCAGGCTCCCGGCTGAGCACGGAGCCCCATGCGGGGCTCGATCCCAGGACCCTGCGATCATGACCTGAGCCGAAGGCAGACGCTTAACCGACTGAGCCACCCAGGCACCCCCAGGAGCTATTCTTTATGTCTAAACTGTACCTCTCGTATTGGGGGTTAATCCAACTTCCTCTTAGTCTGTGTTTACCGATGATCAGGACCATCTGGGAGTCACCCAGGCCCTCTGGGGTAAGTGAAAAGTGTAATGAGAAGACAAGCCAAGAGCCTCAGAGCAGCAAACCCCTCTTAACCCCCCCGCCACCTCCAGGGGACAGTGGAACCAAACAGGTGGGTGTCAGAGGCCTGACCTCTTGTGCATCTGTGTCTGTGGCAGGTGCTCCCGCAGGGACAAGTGCCAGAGGGCCTGGGAACCTAACCGATTTGCGGCCAGCATCAGCCAGTGCATGAGCCTCGAGGTGCATCCCAGCAGCATCTCAGTGTCTGAACACAGCCGGCGGGTAAGAAACGTATCCCGGGGGCTGGTGGGGGAGCACAGAGCACACACACGTGGTGTGCACGTGTTCCTTCAACACTTGCTCGTGTATCTGTCACTGGATCACACTTTAAATGCTCCAAGAAAACTGTGTTTATATAAAACCTATGGTAGCTCCTATTGTAAAGGGCACAGTCATTCTCTGTATTCCCTGCAAACTCATTACCCATTGATCTGTTTCGTAAATCTAGATTCTGCATTTAGTAACAAACATCTACAACATAGTGCAATCCGATACTAAATTAACACATTGTTTGTTATATGCTCTATTTACATTCCTCCATTCATGTGGTTTTTCACAGAGACCTTAGAGTTGCCTTTGTCTATGTGTGTGTGAGAGAGAGAGAGAGAGAGAGAGGAGAGACAGACAGAGACAAAGAGACTGAGGCTTAAGTCACAGTTGGTATGTTCTTAAAGAGAATATTAAAGAGAATAAAACAGCCCTTAACCACCTGTCGAGGTACAACCCCAAATATTTCATGTCCTTAGGCCCTGCACGATTATTTCATTCTGAAGGTTTTATGAGTGTTTACGGATGTTAATTAGTTAATGAACCTTCCAAGATTTCTGTTCATTCATCCCCACCAGGAGGTTTTGGCTCCCATGGAGCCAAGGGAACAAATAGGGGAGTTTGTACCTAAGTCTCTTGGCCCCATGGAAACGAAACTGGGGCAGGGATTCAGCAGCAAGCAAATGTTTGGAGAGGCTAGGTGACACTCATTGTGAGTGAGAAACCTCTGCAAATAAATACAGCCAGGTGTTGGTAGGAAGACAATGGGAGACCTACCTACACTGTGGCTCCCAACTTGAAGGCTCTGAGGGGGGCAGGTATTGTTGCCGTGAACCCTTATGGTCACCCCCTGTTGCTAGAGGAAGCCAGGGGCATTTTTTACCTATTGTGTCAAATATCACTTAGATGTTCTATTGTGGTCATTGCGAACAAACTCATTTCTGGCCCTCAGTGGTATTTTTACCATTCAAAGGACGGTATGCAAACTTGAAAAAGCCGGAAAGTGCTGGCCTAGATCATTGGAATCCATAGGCAGCAGCAGACATCATCCGAGCCGTTGGTGTCCACGTTCTTTGCTTTCTCTGGTCCCCACAGCTCCTTGTGAAGCCACTGCCCTACTGGAGGGGGGCTGTCAGCAAGCAGGGCACCTGGGGTTGGGAGGACAGAGGGGCAGAAACCCTAGGACACTTGCCATCCTGATAAGCAGCGCCTGAATCATAGCCAGGCTGAGGAGCTAGCTGTCTCCCACCAACCTGGTAAACCTCGAGATTGGTAAGCCAGTGTTAAGGCTTGTTTGCAAAGGGCTTAGCTCGTGATTTGCTTTCCAGGGTCATGGTTTCATGTCAAAATGATGAGGTCTGTGGTGGATTTTGGTACCTTTCCCTCTAGGTCCCCTCACCCAGTCCTTTCTGATGCTGGCCAAGACTGAAAAATAAATGCACAGTGATATTAATAAAGACCCACTGACTCTGCACTATTATAATTGTTCTGTGTCAAAGCCAGAGGATCACTAGACCAATGTCCTTCCTTAGAGATGAGCTCAGGGGACATTAGTCCACAAGCAGGCCACAGCAGGGCCAGGCCTGGAGCTCTGGTCTGCGGAGCCCTTAGGATTCTTCCTATGGCATCGTTTTTTGCTCCTAAGCCTCTTTGCTCCTCCCACAGCTCAGCCTGGTTGTGAGTGATGCTCCTGACCTGTCTGTGGGCATCTCCTGTGCCTTTGGGAACCTGACCGAGGTGGAGGGACAGGTGTCTGGGAGCCAGGTCATCTGCATCTCACCAGGGCCCAGGGATGTCCCTGTCATCCCTCTGGATCAAGGTAAGAAGTGAGCGCCATGAAAGTCACATGCCAGGGGCTGCCCTGCCAGAATGGTCAAGAGTAGAGTACACAGTGGAAGGGGTAGCAAGTGGAGGGCGCAGGGGATGGGGTGGCGAGTACCAGCACCAAAGTTGCCTGCCTGAGCCTTCATATCGCAGATGCTAACATGGGCTTATATAACTTGTTTGAGTTTGAAGGCTCATTGTCATGCCCCAAAGCAAAATTCAGAAAGAAGGAAATCCCTTGCTCCAACTTGGGTTAAGTCTTCACCATGTGCAGAGAGTTTTTCCGGACTTCCCTTCCCTTCAAGGAATGTCAGTGGCTCCAGCCAGTGATTTTCAGCGGTCTCTCCATGGACCTGGGGGTTTGAGGGGTTCTGGCCTAGTATTTCTGAAAGTCTTTCAGTAACTGAACATGCCTGACCAAAGCAAGGGTTTCTGTGGGATGTGATTCATGCAGTTTCCCCTAAGAGGGGGTGTGCAGGTGGCTGGGTCCCAGTGACGGGTGTCTCTCAACAGGACCGAAGGGACCCTCAGGCAGTTTTCATCTACCGTCTGTGCCCCAAGAGAGCCCTGGACTGGCTTCATGGATTACCCTCAGATTCTCCACTGGGCCCCCAGGTTGTTACCCTCTCCTTTTTTTCCCCCAGACTGGTTTGGGCTAGAGCTGCAGCTGAGATCCAAGGAGACTGGGAAGATATTTGTCAGCACTGAGTTCAAGTTCTACAACTGCAGTGCCCACCAACTGTAAGCATTCCGGGGCCTGGATATGGGTGTAGGGGGTTCTCTAAGCTCCAGTCATGTTGGTTTCACCTCTCAGTCTCCCCACGGGACCTGGCACACTGTCTCGGACAGAGTGAGCTCTCCATAAATGTTCCTTTTCAGTTCTGTTCAGTTTATTCAGTTGTATTAAACAGAATGGCATTCACTGTCCACAGCCTCTGATCTCATCCAGACTCCCTTGCCTGACCCCTCTACAACCCTACGCCCAATTCTCAAGCTAAGATGGTAAAAAGAAAGTTTGACACGAAGACGAAGGTCGTGGTCCAAGGACAATAAGAAAAGTTCTCCATTTTAGACCAGTTGGTGGTGGCTTTGAACATAGAGATTGACAGTGAATGGAGTTTAGACACATCCTCCATGACTAAGTGGAGAGGGACTCGGAGGTAAAGGCAGCTATGCACACAGCAACCCCCAGGGGAGGACATGATATAAGGGCCCCGGGCTGGGAGGGGGAGAGGAGACTTTCACGCCACTGTGATCCAGACCCAGCCTTTGACTTTTTAAAAGAGGAGGGGGAAACCGGCAGCCTCTAGAGGGGCTTGAGTAGAGCCCAGCTGACCTCACCAGCCATCTCCAGCAGTGGGACACTTACCACTGGTGCCCACAAGCTAAGAACTTCTACAGCTGGGCAGGAAGAGAGACCCATATTTAGTTTCTATCTTCACTGGAAGAGAAACTGAGACTCCTTCCATAAAAACTGGGTACTCTATACCGCCTGGTTTAGAAAGAGGGGAATAGGTCTCTATAATAGGGCCACATAAAGGCCACTGGACCAGTGACCATGAACATTTCACAAGGAGAGAGATCAAGCAACAACTCCACACCAGAGGGAGCAATCATTGGGGATAGTCTATGGACCCATCCTTCCCATTTCCTAAGACAGGAATACTCTGAGGTCTACATAACTCCAAGGCATCATGTCTGTAGGGTCCAGGCTATGGACAAGATGGGCTCAGCAATCCGCATGGGGAGAGGTCTGTTTGCAGCTATCCCTGAAAGGAATCTTTAGCCATTAAAAGAGACACATGAGTCCGTCCTCCCGAGCCTCGCCTCCTCTGATCTTGATTTTTATGACAGGAATCAGCTGCTGGAACTCTAGGATCTCCAAAGTAGTTAAGAAAGGAGACACAGTTGAGCCCCATTGGGATAAGTCAATAGATGTGCTGAGAAAGGACAAATGGTAAAAATGGCCTGGGGCGGGGGCAGGGCAGTAAGTGCAGAAGCTGAAATAAACAAAATTGCCCACTAACCATGGCTTCCCACTCCCAGCTAACCCTGTTGGGGAAAATGCAAGCATCTTGGAGAAAGAAACTCCCAACCTCCTTCTAAACTCCAACACAGTGGTGATGGAATTCATTGTTTGTGAGAGCATCCTCATCTCCATGGCAGTTCGGTGTGATGTCACCACTTTGCATTGCTATGGCAACAGAAATGCAGTCACAGGCAGCAAGTTTTAGCCAAAAAAAAAAAAAAAAAAAGGCAGGTCTGCTTGACAGCAAAGATTCCATTTTATTGCTAAACACTATCTTACCCTTACTCCACTCCTGGCATCCATAGCAAAAAGTCACAGAATCAAGTTCAGTCCCCTGCTTTTAATATGGTAAACTGAGGCCCACAAGGGATAAGTGCTGCACTGAAGGTCACAAAATTAGCCAGTGGAAAAGCCAGGCTTAGAACCCCATCTCATCATTCTTGGTCCATTTTCATTATTTACTTGCTGAATCATAAGATATTAGCAAGAACCAGTCAGTCTGGCCTAAGCTCAGAAATACAATCACTTTGGGCATATCCGGAAGGGGATAAGATTGATCAGCATGGGGAAGATGAGGTGTAGATGTGCTAATGCACCCAAAACACCCAAATTAGCCAGTCACCCCCTGGATGGAGACCCATCCACCTAAATGTAAAGAGAATGCCCACCAGATGGCGCCAGATCGCAGAGCCGGATGTGTCCCTTCCAGGTTGGTCTAGTTGTCAAAGGCTAGATTAGGGGAGCTGGCAAGGAGCAGGAAGACCAACCCCACCTACAAAACCCAACTCCATTTTAATGGTCTGGTCACACGCAGCCCCCAGGTAAAACTAGAGGGAGAGAAGCGCTTACCCTGGCAAGAAATGCATGAGCCACACACATACTACTGCCTATGCCTGGCTACTTGGAGAGTGAGACAAAATTGCCATTTAATATTGTTAACTCCCCCAAAGCCCAGAAACACAGGTGATTGAACTAGTCATTGACACTCAAATGTGACATTCACATTTAACATTGTACCTTTCAAAACCATTTCCTACGCATTATCTTGTTTGATGCTCAACAGCCCTGTGGAGCAGATAGGAAAGTTTTATTACAGACAGATGAAGAACTTCCAATGCAGAAAGTGAAGTGACTTACTCAAGGTGACCCAAGTGGCAGTGGCAAGCCTGGAATCCTATCTGCCCAATTTCTATCCCCGTGCTTTTCTGTCTTATGTCTTCCAAGCTATTCTCTTATAAGTGGTGGAATGCTGGTAAATATTTAACTACCAGCAATCAAGAAAAAAAACCTAGTATGTAGCATTTGCCAATTTCTATGGTGTAAATACTCTGTCCATGGCTGATTTCAAGCTATAAACATGATGCCAACCACTTGGAAAATTCCTGGAAAGGTAAATAATCAGCTCTTCTGAGCTGATGCAGGCCAGCTCTAGAACACCACTGCTCTGTGTTACATTATTTCCACTTTGGACTCTTCCTTTTTTTTTTTTTTTCCCTTCAATTTTCTGGTCCTAAGAACATCTTTAAAGGAGAATCCACAGTTCTCATGCTGGGGGATGCCCCACGAATCAGCGCTCCTGAGAGAGAGACTAGGGTAACCCACTTCCATCATGACACATGGGCTACCTGGCACCCCTACCTTCCTTGTTTGCTCCCTTCTCTTTGCCTCTTACTATCTCCATCCCTGCAGGTGCCTGTCTTGTGTCAACAGCGCCTTCCGCTGCCATTGGTGCAAATACCGGAACCTCTGCACTCACGACCCCACCACTTGCTCCTTCCAGGAGGGCCGGATCAATATTTCAGAGGTAAGCAAGGCTCACCTTGGCATGGTGCTGTTTCCCAGTGAGTCTGAGTGGCCCTCCCTTCTCAGATGGGCAGTCCAGTGGCTTGGCCATCTCCTTGCCCTGACCCATCTTGGTCTTCTTCCCGGAGATTCTATATGGTAGTAAGCCCCATTATTATAAAACGCAAAAAAAAAAAAAAAAGTGGCAGAAAATACCCCAGCGGCAGAGAAATGTGCTGTCTCTTCTAGGCTCTTAAGACTGTCTACATTCAAAGGCTTGAGGGGAACTGAGGCTTGAGACTAAAAGCTGAGAGGACATATCCAATCAACCAGACTCCATTGTCTAGAAGAGGGCAGTGAATGACATTGAGTCTTTGAGTCTAAGCCCTTTGCTTGGCTGCAGACACAGTCCGATTCAACAGAACATTCACTCTCAACCATTCTTCCATGCCAACCTCTCTTCCAGCTCCAAGTTTCAATGATTCTTTGACTCTGATGTATGACTGGGTGGGTGGCCTTCCAGAAAGAGAAGGAAATTGAGCTGGTGAAAAGAACCAGGCCTTGCTAAAAGCCCCAGTTTATTATACAGTCGGTGTTCCATCCCCAAGGCCTGACCCACCTTTGTTATCAACACCGTGAAATATCAAATTGCTTGTCTTTCCAAGGAATATCACATCCGATGATTGTCTACTGATGTTGACTTTCGTACACATTCACAGCATGCCTTAGGAAAATGAAGCCTGCTTGGTCAATTTCCCTTTCTCGTGTTTAATGTTTTTCACACTGCAGCATGGCCAGTAGGTTGGGTTTGAACGACTGTAGAGGCCTATGTAGTCATACAAGTTGCACATGTGTGTATACACACGTTCCCCTCTTCTTCCACCTTTTAGAAAATCCGCAATTGTAAATAAGCGACAGCGTAGCATGCGCATATTTTACTATACTCTTTCCATACACCTGTCGCCATTGCAGTAGACTAGAAGCTTCTTGAAGGCAAGGGCTACATCTTATCTTTAAATCCTCAGTGTCTTCTTCAGTGACTGTTTGCAGAATGCATGCATGAAAGAAGGAAGGAATGGCCACTTTACCCAAATGCCATTGATAGGAAGGGTTCCTTGGATACATTTGTCCATGATTTCAAGAAATAGAGTCTTATGGGAAGAAAAGAAGAAATAGAGTCTTCTGTGTCTCCTAATCTTGATAGAAATGCTAGTTGTTTCCATGAATAAACATAAGAAAGTAGACCTTGATATACATATTGCAAATCATCATGATGCATACTTTAAATACCTTACAATTTCATTTGTCAATTATACCTCAAAAGGTAAAAAAAAAAAAAAAAAAATTAAATAAGAATATAGTAGGCCTTGAACTGTTTCTCAAACACACACCCATGGCCTTGAATTATTCTGAGTTTCTGAAATAATACATGTTACATTCAGCCAGAAAAATGTAAAAATGGGCCCGTCTTGAAAGAGAGAAACATAGATGGTACCCACAGGTGGTATTTAAGACAGGCCGTCTGCAGGTGCCCCAGCGTGATGGACACAGTTATCTAGTGCCCTGAAAACCTTTCAGAAAAAGATTTCCCTCCAGCCAGTTGGTGTGCTTTGATGTAGCTGGCCTGAAAGATCTACCCTGGTCTTAGTGGACACTGCAAATTAATCCCAGCTCTGGGATTGTGCAAGAGTATGGAACTGCTTTCAGGCCAGTCTTCTTACTCAGAGGATAGGACCCAAGGGCTGCGGGTATGGAGTGGAGGGTGGTTAACCCAGCTAGGGAGCTGATGGAAGAATGGCGAAGGGAGGCAAGGCGGACCAGGAACAGCAGAAGCCACAGACGGGGCTGCTCAGAGGCAAAGGCCTGGCCGTGAAAAGATGGTGATAAAGGGTCTCAGAAACTGACCTTCACATGGGCCACATCTAAACTTCTAAGTTCCTTAATAAAATAAAGCGAGGCTGACCACAAAATGCAGAGAGAGAGAGAGAGAGAGAGTGAAGTGCAGATCTGGACGAGAAAGTTTTCTCCTAGGGGCTCCCCCTCAGGCAGAGAGAAACCCAAAGCCAAGCCTGAAAGGGGCCTGCAGCTGGAGCGAGGGCAGGAGGAGTGGCGCACAGAGCAAGACAAATAAACTCTGCCGGGGTGTGGAGGCCAGAAGGCTAATTGGAAACATACCGGCCTCCCTTCGTGCCCTTTAGAAGTCACTAGAACACGGTTCCCTCTCAGCCACGGGGGAGAGACCGAAATGTTCCAGAGAGCTGGGCCTAAGAGAAGCTGTTGCCACCCGGCCAGTCGGATTGAGTGAATACCGAAGGAGGCCTGGGGGGAAACCCCAAAGGCTTCTCACCCCCTATTAGTTTCACTTTCTTTCCTGAATGTCTGTTGCTTGGGACGGAGAGTTACCCTTTGTCCCCGCTCACGTTCCCGCTTCTCCTGAGTGGGACTGGGCCGGACTGCCATTCTCCTACTGCTGATAAGCACAGGCCCCTGATGCGGGCCTGGGGCTTGGCTCTCTGGAGGTCGGGGGTGGAAGTCCGGTCTGTGTCTGGCTCCTGACTTCGCCCAGGAAAGAAAATCGATTCAGGTTCCCAGCAAGCTTGTGAGGGCCACTTCCTCAGCTGCCTTGAATACTGCCAGAGCTCTTGGCCACAGCCATTCACTCATCCCTTCCCAGCAAATAGCTCCCAGGCCCTACTCTTTTCCATCCAAAGCTCTGCTTCTGGGGAGCCCATTCCTGAAAATGTGGGCAACAGCAGAAGCACACATGTCCAGCTTGGGTAAGGTGTTCTTTACTGTATTAGGAGTCTGATCTCATGTCTTTAGGTTTTTCTGGGGATTGGAAATCCCTTAGGTACCTCTTTGGGGGTCCTAGAATATCTCTTTCATACATCCAGTAAGGGCCCCCTAACTCTGAATCAAAATTTTATGTCCATTTCCTTGAAACAATACATAACTGATTAGCTCCATTGATGTATACGGAACATTAATGTAGCATACGTTTGTAATTCTCTCAAATGTGCCAAGAGTTCTCAAAGCATGTATGTCAGGGTAGGGGGACCAGTAACATCAGCATCACCTGGGTACTTGTTAGAAAATCAAAGTCTTGGGTTACGTGGGTGGCTCAGTCAGTTAAGCGGCTGCCTTCAGCTCAGGTCATCATCCCAGGGTCCTGGGATCAAGCCCCACATCGGGCTTTCTGCTCAGCGGGGAGCCTGCTTCTCCCCCTCCCTCTGCCTCTGTGATCTCTCTCTCTCGCAAATAAATAAAATCTTAAAAAAATTTTTCAAATTCTTGGGCCCCATTCCAAATGAGTCTAAAGATTGAGAGTCACGGACATGTGGCATCTCAACTGATTCTCGAAACAGATCTGCAGTTCCACATAATTCATATTTGACACATGTAGTAACCAAGATGCTAAAAATTTAGGTTTTTTGCCCAAGGCTACAGAGAACTCCGGCATCCAAAAGAGCTGAGTACAGTATGCTTTCTGCAGAAAATCAGAGCCAGTTAGCTTGCTTGTCTCCATGGCCACAGCCACACTTGCCAGCCAGATCCCAATTTGGCTTTATGCTCTTTGGTTGTGAGGGTTTGGGGTATGCAGGGACTGGTACAAATCCATCTCCCCAGATGGGGAGGCTCCCATGGAATCTGGGTCAGGAGTCCCACTTACAGATACACGGCCAGCCAGCACATGAGGTACATCTGCCTACTTCTTTCCAGAGGTCTGATGGACAAAGTCCACACTTAAGCTTGACAAGAAAGTACCTAATTCAAAATAAAAATATCGGTAGTGAACATTTATTGAGTGCTTATTATATATGCAACATTTTCTATATACATAAAATCTCTATAAAATGGGTTCTATTACAGATTAGTAAACAGAGGTTTAGGTAAGTTAAGCAATTTTCCTAAGACCATCAGATACATGCAGAAAGCATGACTCAGAGTAAAAAGTTCCCCAGGCTGACTGTGAGTAAGTCGACGTCCTCTGATCCTGTGTCGTCGTCCCCCCCACACAGACACACCCACATGCACACACAAGAAATACAGTCATATTCATGTTGTTGATCCAGTTTATTGCCATCTACAACATACTTTCGTAGGCCTCTTTTAAGCCATCTAGGCCTGTCAGGTATTTCTGGCCCCATTTTATAGATGAGGAAACTGAATTTCAACTGAACCATCTCTTGAGCTCTTTTAGGGTTATGAGCCAACCTTTCCACCGTGCAGAGCACAGCCGATCTCTGATGGGGCCCCCCAAATCTCTGCCTCCCTGGGCCAGATCAAGCTGTGACATGGTGTTAGCAAGCAGGCGTGTGCAGGAGTATGTATGGCTTTCAGATCTAAAAGCTCATCTCCTTCCATGGCTAAAGCAGGCCTAGTGAGATGTAGATACATAAATATCTTCTTTACGCCCTGTCCCGGGGGAAAGATAGAACCAAATAAATCCGATTAACTTCCCAGGATACTGGCTGCTTTCTCTCTTTGAAGTCCAGTGGGTGAAGATAATGCCATTTCCACACGGGAGAAGTCGTTTCCGAGGGCCGAAGGGTCCCCCGAGCTGAGAAGCACAGCTAAGCAGAGTGGGTGATGTGGCCGCGAGCCACGCGGGGCTCCCACGCCAGAGTCCTGCCCTCCCCGGAGCCGTGGCTCTTCCTCCCCAGACTACCCCCGTCCCCGGGATATTCTGAAATAGGACATCTGTTCATCTTGACAGAAACTCAGATTGCTGCCAAGGAGGTGATCCTGCTGCCAAGTTGGCCTAGAGACAGAGAGAGGAGTAAGATGACCTAAAGACAGTGGAGACCAGCAATAGCGATGGGCATTTTAACACTGACAACCGTCTTAACATTCTGCAGGAAAAGCATAGCGTGATCATTTGTGTTCTTATTCTTAGGACAACAACTGTGTGTGTGTGTGTGTGCGCGCGTGCGCGCACGAGCGTGCGCTCACAGAAACAATTGGGTTGTAAGTGGCCTCATTGTATCTGATGAAACCCAACGCCTTCCTCAAGGCCCTGAGGCATTGAAGTTCCCACAACTTGGCAGTTTTCTGGGCTTCTGGCTTTCCTGCATCTGCCCTCAGCTTTCACTACTGCCATTGCTACCCGGGATTCGCTGCTCCCTCATCAACATATTCACCTGAGCCACTCACAACTCAAGCATTCTCTATCTTCCCCTGCTTCCCAAGAAGAAGACAGGATACCTCCCCCCAACCCCTTCTTTCCTTTACCCTAGAGAATAAAAGAAAGAATCCTACTCTGTGTGGCCTGAAATAGCAAAAACAAAACAAAACCAAAAAAAAAAAGGAAAAAAAAAACAGAAACAAAGGATAAGACATCTGTTTCTACTGAGGCAATCTTAGAACCTGTTTCGGCATTTGGGAAGCTCCTAATCATTGTCTTTAAATCTAGTCCCAGAAAGTCCGAAACAGCAGACCATGGACCTTTTTCTAAAATTTTAGAATCCCTTCAAAAAAGAAAAAAATAAAACTCCTAAGGAGTACTCATAAAGTGTCTTCTTACGATTCTCTAACCTCCAGGTTGGATCAGACTTAACCCAGACAAAAAGATGAGGATGTGCACACATGTGTGTATTATATGTAAATAAACATGTGATACAATAAGTATGTATATAAATATATTTGTTATATATGTAAATTTGTCAAAGTTAAAAGGATCCTACAATCTTGTTTACTAACGCAAGACATCATACTTCCAGAAACACATCTTTAAGACCGTGCTGCTAAAATTTGAATTTGTTCTCTGAGCTCATTAGAGATGAAAAACAACAAGTCGTCACTTACAATGTATCAACTAGTTCTGTGTCTGAAAATTTATTCTCTCTGTCTCAGACACACACACACACACACACCCTCCTTATAATTCAGCTTTATTTCTAGTCTAAATTAAAATTTTAATTTATTAGACACTAGGGGGATTTTTTAGCTGCCGACAGGAAGTAGTATCTCCTTTTCCAGGGGATACCTGGGTTTCCCTAAAGTGGTGTTCATTTTTTTTCTTGGCTATAAATATATGAAAGACTCTGTTCAAGCGTGCCCTCAGGGCATGAAAGGAAAAGTGCAGTAAAGAGCGCGTTTATGAGTTGGCAGCTTGAGTGACTAGCTTCCAAACAGGGACCCATCTGCTCTGGGGTTGCCTTATCATCCTGTCTCTTTTAGAGACCTTGTCTGCTAGGCGTCCTCAAATGCAGTTGGCCTACAGGTGACAGAGAGCACCAGTGACCCCAGAAGTTCATCCAGGTCCTGCTCGATAAGATTCTGTGGGAAATTTGCCCAGCGTTTCATAAATTCTCAGGATTCCTTACTAGATTTGGACAGGCCTACTTCGTAATCATGTGACTCCAGAAGCAGTGACCATTTCCAACCCCAGCTTTGGAATCAAACTGCTTCTCAAGTCTCTTGGTATCCAGAAGGCAGGGCTCTCCCCTCAACTCTGAAGAACGTAGGAAGCCGGAGGTGGAGAGAAAGTTTGCAATCTTTTCATCTGTCGCTTCATTTTCTCATTTTCTGTTTACCCTCCCACGAGCAATGACCAAGTGTCCAAGACATGTCAGGAACTGGGATAAAGACAGGGATACTGAGGTGGATGAGATGCAGCCTGATCCTCCAGGCTCACGCACCAGTGAGGACAATGAGTCAACAAGCAATTGCAATTCTGAGGGCTAAATGCGATCATGGGAGAACATCCATAACCCATCCTGAAGTCCAGGGCAGGGAAAGGGTCAGTGATGGCTTTCCAGAAAAGGAGCTGCAGAGCTGAATTTGAAGGCTAATTACGAGGCATTCAGCTATGGAGGGGCTAAGGCAGGGGCTAGGAGGTCGAAGGGGGGCAGGGCTTGGCGGTGAGTGTTTCTGGTAGAGAGAAAAGCATCTTCAAAGGACCAGAGGCCCATGAGTCAGGAACAACCCCCCCGCCGCCCCGCCGCCCCAGAATTCACCTGAAGTCCCAGATGGCTGGAGCAGGATGCATGAGCGCCCCCGGAGAAGGAGGAGGCAGAGGCCAGGTGGTGAGGGCTTGTAGCTGAGGCCCAGAGGAGAGAAGAGACTTCCTCAGCCTCCCGCTGGGGTCCCCTAGGTCTCCTCCCAATTCTGCATCTGAGGCTGTCCGTTGCTCAACGCTGCCTGTGTCATGAGCGGCTTCTTAGCAGGGAGCATCTTTAGCACTGGGATGGGGACAGTTTTCCTTGTTCAAGACTGTCCCACAGCTCACAGGCAGTTCAGCAGCTCCGGCCCCAATGCCAGTAGCACCCCTCAGCAGGATAGCTACATCAAGCCCCACATGCCCCCACATGCTCCCTCTGAGAACCACTGCAGAGGGGAAGGGGATGCCGAGCCAGGCGCCTCCCTCAAGAATTTCCGCAGTGGGTCCCCGGGAGACAGGAAATGATCGCACGCAGAGATGGCTGGCCCTTACCATCCTCACTGCCAGAGGCTGCTGGGCTCTGCCTTACCCACGAGGGAGAGAGCGGGCCAGGGATCAGAGCTTCAGGAAGGTGGCAACCTGACCTTCGGGAGAGAAGCAACATCTAGGAAGAGAACTCAGGAAGATCAATCTGGCTCTCTCACTTCCTTGGGCTCTCATGGCCCTTCCCACAGCCCCTCCCCACCAAGACTTTCTTTTTTTTTAAGTTTTGTTTTCCGAAGCAACATGACATTCATGCAGGGCCTGGTAATGAAATGAGATAAAAAGCCAAAGCAAGTGTTTAGAGCGTTGCCGGGAGGGCTGATCCCCCTTCTGGAAAGGCCGACTCAGCCGGAGAGGAGAAGCTGAAGCTGTCGATAACAGGATGCCTCCGGCCGGACCATGCAAGGAAGACAGGAGCTGGGGAGGGGATGAAACTGAGAGGTGGTGGGCGTTCCAGGCTCGGGAGAGGGACACGCAGGGGCCTCTTTTATCTATGTGGCAGGAGATAAAATCCACAGCCTGACACACCGGCGCTTGGAAATTAATTCCTAAGTTGTAACATGCACACCAGATCGGGGACAACGCGTGGGCTGGGGATGACAATATCAAAGCCCCAGGAGCTAAGAGAGAGATTTCATTTCCCCTGCCAACTCCCCCGTGCCCCTTAAACAAGGTACATCCTTCTCGTGGGCGGCCCACCCAGGTGCAAGAGGGTCTGGCCGGGCCCCCGGGGTCCAGCCCCCTGCCCCGGTTGAGATGCAGAGGAAGGTGTGAGTCGGGACAGATGGCGTCTCTCTGCTTGCTCCCGCAGGACTGTCCCCAGCTGGTGCCCACAGAGGAAATTCTGATACCAGTCGGAGAGGTTAAGCCAATCACTCTGAAGGCTCGGAACCTGCCCCAGCCCCAGTCGGGCCAGCGAGGCTATGAGTGCGTCCTCAGCATCCAGGGGGCAGTCCACCGCGTGCCCGCCCTGCGCTTCAACAGCTCCAGCGTCCAGTGCCAGAACAGCTCGGTAAGAGGGCTCACACTCGAGCCCTGCCCACAGCAGGGTTATCTCTCACACCTGTGCCCAGGTCTAAGCCTCACCTGCCCCAGTTCCCAGAACCCTCCGGTCCACAGGCTGACCCCACATCCCCGGGGACAGAGGGGGGTGCCGGCCCCCAGCAGCCCTCAACCAGAGCAGAGGAGGTTGGTGGTGACAGAGGAGGCCGAGTGACACGAGGAACCCCTGGCATCAGTTGAGAGCTTTGTGCTCTTCCCGAGTTCAGAGAGACCTCTTGGCCTTTGGTGAAATTGCAGCCAAAGCCAGTGGATTCCCCCGCAAACCGCCGTCGCCATTTAGGCATAAAGCAGAGGACGGGCGGGCCAGGAGCTCAGCAGCAGAATGGCGTGAGGGGAGGTGGTGGGGGGAAGGAGGGAGCAGTGAGTTTCAAGAGTGGCAAGGGTTAAACCAGCCCCGCACGCCAGACAGAAAGCACAAGGTGTTTAATTATAATACTAGCCCAGAGATCTTTTTATCTGCCAACGCCTGTCTCTGACTATGGGGGGTCAGCTGGAGATGGGGGGTGATGTGACAAAGGTGTTGAGGGAAGCTAATTCGCCTGGGAGAGATAAAGAGAATCTGGGCTTCTTATCAGGGGGCTGTCAGATTCCCAGGTCACAGGCGCTTGATAGAATTGGTAATCAGCGGAAGGCCGCCAAGCACAAGGCGAAGGTGGGATGAGAAAGAAATGCAACAGGACAAAGGGAGGAAGCGGGCGGGAGGGGCCGGGGGCAGGAGGGCGGGCAGGAGCGTGGCCTGCCCTGAGAGCTCAGTGGCCAGGGCGGGCCAGGTCTCTGCGGAGGGGATTCCCAGAGGCCTTCTTCACCGAGGGGCAGGGCAGGGGCCGGGCCACCAGACAGCCTATTTCTGAAGACCAGCATGGGCGAGAGAGTGGACTCCTGGCCACAGCTTGAGGCCTTTCATGGTCGGCCTGGTCAGATCTGTGCCCAGAAGCTCGGAGCTCTTTCCTTAATGGACTCTTGGCCAAAGTAAAGCTCACATGCAGCCAGAGGGCCCCTGCGGTGCCCAGCCCACCTGCTGCTGCAGCCCTGTTTGTTGTGCCTATGTTCTGCTCAAGGCTCTGGTGGAGTTTGCACAGCAGGACGTGGACTTGCTAGAGAGACTGGACTTGTAACACGAAAAGATGCAGAGCGGCTCTCGGGAAGTGAGGGACAGAAACTGGCAATGCCGAGGGACAGGGAGTTCGGGGCTTGGGGGAAGGATGTCAGAGAAGACGCACTGGGGAAGGTGAGTCTGAGCTGGACCAGAAGAACACAGGCAGCTTGAAGGGTGGAGGCCCTAGGGAGAGAGAGGCGTTCCTTGGGAGATGTGAGCTGAATGGAGACAGAGAGGCACTGGGGCGGGTGCGTCTGGAGACAGGTGGATTCAGAGCTTTCTATAGGAGGGCAGTGGAAGAGAAGGTTGGAGAAGTGAGTTTGGATTTGGATTACGGGAGGCACTGAGCACCACACTAAGGGGTTTGGGTGGGATCCGCTTGGCATTAGTGACTGGGAGTCAGGGGGAGGGTGCCATAGACATCACTCCAGCAGCAAATGGGGTTCCCCAGATTCTCCCTCTGCTCCTTTCTCAGCCCAGACATAGCCAGAGCCCCTGGTTTCTCTCCTGCTGTAGTCCTGGTCCCCCTAGATGCCTGCAGCATCCCTGACCCCCTCTGATAGGGAGCCTCACGAGCCATGCACCCCCTGCCCCTCTCCCCGCAGTACCAGTATGATGGGATGGACATCAGCAACCTGGCCGTGGACTTCGCTGTGGTGTGGAATGGCAATTTCATCATCGACAACCCGCAGGACCTGAAAGGTGAGCAGCTACTTCCGGGTAGAGTTTTGATCTTTTCGTGACCCCGGGAAAGACTGGGGCGAGGGATCAGAGCCGGCCAGCCGCTGTGCCATGAATAATACACTCCCTCTGTCAGCGGAACTCTTCAGAGGATCCTAGAGCAACATTTGGAGCCATCAAAGGAGTCCTGTTGGGAACCCTGTTTTATTACAACCAGAGCATCCGCCAGGCGGCTGCCGGCTCATCACGTTTTCCTTTGGCTTCCGGAGACTTTGAAGTATCTGTAGAACCTGACCTAGGAAAGCAGCAAGCAGGAACGTCCCACCAGTTTCCAGGGAAATAGAGATCTGTTTCCAATTAGGGTCTGATTCCCCTGTCCTTGGTCCCATCGCTGCACAAAGGTTTGTGAGGCTGTGCCCCTGGTTCTAGGGTGGGGAGGGGGCGCAGGCAGGAGGACGCAAGCCCACAACTGTTATAGGTAAGCTCAGCGAGGAGCTGGGCTGACCCAGGAGGGACACTCCACGAGGGCCACCCTCATTCATCGTCCTCCAAATTCACGAGCAACTCCCCCCACGCGCCAGGTAGGCATTACCCTCCGCGCAGCAAGTATCAACACACCCCTCCGCTCTCCAGAGGGACAAAAGCAACTGCAATGTGACAGGTACTTGCTGTGGGTAGGCCCTCCCTCGGTGATTTTCTGAGATTGTTTTCTTTAATCCTTATAAGAACCCCGAGAGGTGTGTACTAGTATTATTCCCATTTTATGGATAAGGAAACCGAGACCCAAAGAGTTTAAGAAACGGACCAGGAGTACTCACTTCTACAGCACATATACAGAAATCAGAACGGTGCACAGATTAACATTGGCCCCGGCACAGGATGACTCGCAAATTCACGAGGCGCTCCAGCCTTTAAAGACAAATATGTGGAATCTTAAAAAAAAAAAAAAAAAAAGTCAAACTCATACAAACTGAGACTAGAAAAGTCGTTGCTAGGGGTTGGTTGTTAAAAGGGTGCAAACTTTCAGCTATAAGATGGATAAAGTCTGAGGATCTAGTGCAAAGCACGGTGGCTATAGTTGATAACACTGCATTGTATAATTGAAATTTGCTAAAAGAGTACAACCTAAATATATATTTCTAATCACTATATATATAGTGATTAGAAACTATATATATATATATATATATATATATATAGTGATGGATATGTTAATTAGCTAAATGGGAAGAACCCTAGCACGATGTATATGTATATCCAATCATCACAGTATATACTTTAAATACCTGTGATTTCTTTTTGTCAATTATACCTCAGTAAAGCTGAAAAAGGAAAGGGGCAAAAAAACAGGCTGAATCAGAAAGTAAGAGCCAGGATCTGAACCAAGGATGTCCAGTCTCAGAGCTCACATGCTGGACCACACCACTGTCCTTCCAGCAGCTCGGGACCCTGTGGGACGTCAAGCCTTCGGCACGCCCTCCAGACGCCTCTCCTCACACCATGAGCCACATCTCACTACACTTGAAGTAGCTAGGGCTGCCCCAGCTTCTCCCTCAGCCTGAGGGTCACCCATGGACGTAGACAGAGGACCAGAGCCACCAGAGGCCCCCACCTACATGCTGGCATGGAAATCAACACCACTTAGGCTGGGAGAAAGAAACTGAACCAGGGAGATTTCTACTCTCTTTCTCCTTATACCCCGGCCCAATTTCCCCACTGCTGAGAGACAGACATCCTCCCTTCTGAGGATCTGGGCTTGGTTCCCAGAGGTGGCCTTTGCACCTAGAGCACAGAGGAAAACAGCCACATCCAGCCTGTCACGTGAGAGCCCTCCCTGGTGGCTCAACATCTTGGAGTGCTTGGGTAGCACCATCTCCATATTCGTGCCTCTGAGAGCCCAGGTGTTTCTGGAGGCTGCGCACCGTGTTGGGTGGAGACGGCCACGGTACTTATGGACTTGGGTTCTAGAAACCAAGAAACCAGGGATCAAATCCTGGCACTTTCACTTATAGTTGGGGGAACTCAGACTACATACTGCCCCTGCCTTCATCCCAGTTTCCTTCCCTGTGAAATGCGGGAAGGGATGCTCTCCTCTTGGGGTCAGCATGAAGACCAAATGAGGTGCGCACCATTTGTGCATGTTAATAAATGCTCACTCTGTAATTGTTCATCTTAAGGTTCCCATTTCCTGCCCTCTACCAGCCCTGGGTATGAGGACATTTAAATGCAGTCCCTGCAGCTGGGACTGAGGGACACTTGACAGAGCAGAGGAACAGGATGAGTACCTATAGAGGAATAAAAATATGCCCCTCCCTGAGGCCTGTACCTGATCTCCAGCACAGGCACGCCCCCACTCCCACCCCCCCAGGCCTGAAAGCTTATGTCTGCTTGACCAGAAAAGTTGAAAATGACTCTCTGAGTATTCTACCTCTGGAGAATTCTACTCAGGATTCTGAATTCAAAACATCAGTAGGCAACAATGAAGTCCCAGGCTCCCAAAACACAGTTCTGCGGCCTGGCGTGCCCCGGGCTTCTAAGTCAGTAAGAGACAAAAGCAAAGGCCAAGGGTCTGCAAACTCCAAAAGTGACCTGTTAAGTAGCTAGGTTGTCCTCTGTGGGAATGTCACCCCCCACTGAAGGGGCTATGAACAGGACTGTGTTGACTCTCTCTCCTTCTCAGTTCTGCCCACACTTTGCCAGCCACCTGGACTTTCTTGAAGCCAAGCTAACCTCTCTCCCAGACCACCCGGTCCCCAGTGTATGGGCGGCATGCCTCTCTCTTCTCAGGATCTACAGTCTAGCAGCACAGTGAGCTGCAACGGCACCATCCTAGCTTGGGGCACTAACCTTAGCAAGCTTCAAGCGTCATTATATATTGAGATGTCTGGGTGGCTCAGTCAGTTAAGAGTCTGATTTTAGCTCAGGTCATGATCTTGGGGTCCTGAGATTGAGCCCGCTTAGTGGGGAGTCTGCTGGTCTCTCTCCCTTGGCTCCTTCCCCCTCTTGTGCTCTCTCTGTCTCTCTCAAATAAATAAAAATCTTTTAAAAAGTCATTATATACCTCTTTGAGCTTCATTTTTACCTGAAATGGGGAAATCAGTCCTTACCTGTTGTGATGAGGGCCCCAAGTAGGAAAGACAGTGCAGAAGAATGTAATGTGACCTCCAAGAAAAGAGAACAAGCCTGTGGGGCCCATCAGGTATGCTACGGGCACTGCGCTAAGCACTTAAGACACAGCACCTCACTCAAACCTCCCACAAAACAACGATCATCCTCATGTCATAAAGTAAACGAGGTTCAGGGAGGTGACATTCTGTCACATTGCTAAGGAAGTAGCGAGGCCACCATCAAAGCCCTGATATGATTTGCTCTAGAGCCAGAACTCTTAAATAACATTTTCTGTAGTACCTTTCAGCAATGAAGAGGCTCAATTTAGTGTTTGTCCTCCATCAGTTATTCTTGCAAGGATGATGGCGATCATCGGTGTTACCCATGCCAGGGACGGTTTCCGCCATGCCTCCAAGAAGAGGCGCGGTCGGGAGGAGCCCTCTCCAATCCTGCTGTGTCGCCCCCTCTCTTTGCAGTCCATCTCTACAAGTGTGCGGCCCAGCGGGAGAGCTGCGGCCTCTGCCTGAAGGCCGACCGGAAGTTCGAGTGTGGCTGGTGCAGCGGCGAGCGCAGGTGCACCCTCCAGCAGCACTGCACCAGCCCCTCCAGCCCCTGGCTTGACTGGTCCAGCCACAACGTTAAGTGCTCCAACCCTCAAATCACCGAGGTGAGTCCCACAAGTTCCCAGAGCGGGGCAGCGTGGCCAGGAGCCGGCCCGGGCTGGGTGGGCAGTGGGAGAGGAGTTCACATGGAAGAATTCTTCTAAGTGTAGTGCACATTTAATGTGGGGTGTGGGAAGCCTCTCTCAGGCGTTTCGATGGCCCACGTCTGGGTGTAAGTGACAAGCATATGGATGTGTGTCCTCAGGCCAGTGTGTGAATGCACCTGCACGTCGGCGTGGGCGCGTGCACACAAGGGAGGTAGAGCCAGCCCAGCCTCCCTGCCAGGCCGGCAGAGCCAGGTGGGGACAGGAAATTGGCTGCGTGGTGGGTAAACATTTCAGAAAGCAGGTTTAGCTTTTCTCAGCAGAAATGTGATTTCAGGAGCCGCAATTAGCTCCGAGTTGCAAAGTTGAACGCAGAAGAAGAAAGTAAAGGCAGGCACTACATTGGCCACCGTGCCATTTCCCAAGATTTACTCTCTGTCCCAATTTGTTTGTGCATTTTAATGGAAAGAAATAGGTAATTAATTATCCTGGAAAAATAAATGATGTTTCCTGAATAGCAAATTGCAAAGGCAGATGAATAGATGATGTGAATGAAAAAGCAGCTGCTCGGGTTTTGAATGGCCTGGGAGAGGAATAGTTGTATTTAACTTTGGTTGCATTATGTGTTCATCACTCTTCACGGCTCCCTATTCACCGGATGTCACTTATGCTTTGAAACTAATTGCACGTTCCTTATGGTGACTGGGAATAAAGGTGCGGGCAGGTAGCACTGTGGTCTGCTCATTTAAGAAAGCAGTGAGGGGCTGCTCCTTTTCTGCCTCTTCCCCGAGTGGATGCACTGCCCCTCTTCCTGGCTCATTTTCCTTACTAGCCAAAGAAAGCACCTTTGGCTCTCACCTATGTCACAGAGTATTGAGAAGCTTCTCGAACATCCCTGTGATCATTTTGAAGCTTCAGATCCGCATAAAGAAAACCCTCAAGATCAAATGAGCATTGTTAACCTACAGATGGGTTATTTGAAGAGGGAGCTGATGTTTATTCAGTGCGCTTGGCACCGTCTCATTTAATCCCACATCCACGGTGGGAGATAAATATTCTCACCTCCATTTTACAGGTAAAGAAAATGAGGCTCAGAGGAGAGGCGTGGTTGCCCCAGTTCACACAGCTGATAAGTGGCAGACCTGGTATTTAAGCTCAGATCTATGGAATTAGAGAACTACTTGTAAAGTCTCTGATTGCCCAAGTAATACAGCACAAGAAGCAGGACTCCCCCTTCCTCAATGTCCAACCTTCCTAGCTAAGGTAGACCAGGAAGATGCCATCCATCCACATGGCAGGGCATCCCTGGGGAAGCACAGTGCGGTGGGAGAGTGTCTCCTGCTAGCTAGGTTCTCATCCATCCTGGTGGGAAGATGCGGTGAGCGTGGAGACACTGCCCCTCAAAGATCAGACTTCTTCAATTTCATTTTACTCTTGGACGTGGCCCGTGACAGTGTCTACTGACTCCATCCCGTGTCTTTATCTCGCCGCGAAAGTGCTTGCAGGGACTGCTGGTGGGGCCCCCGCCTCTGCCCTCACACAGCCAGCCCGCTGAGCTGCTCAGGACTCCATGCCTTCTCCCTGATGCCAGTGATTTCCCGCAACTGCTGGAACCTGCTCTGCCCTGTATGTCTTGCAGCTGTACTTGTCGGTCTGTATGTCTCTGCACCTGTGGCGTAGGGTAGCTTAAATCAGGCAGGGACTCGCTTCCATCAGCTCCTCTCACCTCCCCCTGCCCCAGCTGCTGCCTCGGCCCTGTCTACTCCCCGCCTTCCCAGCCCTAAGGCAGGCTTGTCCCTGGGAAATCTCTGCCTCCGTGTCACCCCTGCTCACTGACCGTAGACTGACGGGTTGCTCCATTCACAGAGGATACCCAAGCGACATGATGCTAATTAACCCCTGGAGGTAATTAGGCTGTAATTGATTTTCCCAGTGAACACAGCAACAGGAGTTGGAGGCCCCAAGCAGTGGGGTCTCCTGTTGGCGTTTTTCAAGTAGAGGCTGTGGAGAAATGAAAGAGCCTCTCCAGGGAAGAGAGACAAATCCATGCTGTGTCTCAAGCCATGAAGGGCCATCATTCGGGACAGGACATGCAGGAGGGAGGATCCAGGCCTGGAATATTTCATCCGCTATGATCAGGAATTGTTCCTTTCATTTTGCGGCTCCTACCCTCAACCTCCCTTCCTTCCCTTGTAAAAGTCATCTTCAGTTTTTTTTAACTTTTCATTTTTGAAATAATTTTAGACTTATAAAAGGGTACAAAAATAGTACAAAGAACTTTCATATACCCTTCACCCAGATTCTCCCAAATTAACGTCTTATATAACCACAGGACAATTATCAAAATCAGGAAATTAACATTTATACACTAATGCCATGTAATATACATGCCTGATTCACATTGTGCCGATTATCCCATTGATTGTCCCCCTTTTCCTGATCCAGGATCCAACCCGGGGTCACATGTGATGTTCCGTTAGCGTGTTTCTTTAGCTCTGGTCCTCAGTCTTTCTTTGTCTTTCATGACCTTAGTGCTGTTGAAGAGTACAGGACAATTATTTTGTAGAATATCCCTCGATTTGAAGATGGCTGTCTCCTCACAATTTAATTTAGGTGATATTTTCATGGCAAGGCGTACGAACAAAAATGTGGAGTACATGTCAAAAGTGCACAGGAGTCAACTTGATTTGGCCCCAGGAGCCAAATCTGGGACAATCTGAGTAAGAAAATAAGTGATACTAATTGACTATAAACAATAGAATAAAATAAGAATCTATGCTCCTTCTTGATACAAATAGACAAATAATTCATGGGGGAGGGAGGAAGCTCTTCTACTAGAATTCTAACTCAAAAATGTTAAAGAACCTAGGGAAATAGAAAATCACCGTTTGGCAAGATTCGCAGTAATAATTATTTCAGGAAGAAAGGCCGATGGATACTAAAATTAGTAAATGAACGTATGATGAAAAATAGGATATTTATATAGTCTCAAGCCATCTCCCCACAAGATATGTACTAATCTCAACAAGAAAAACAGAAACTTTACAGAGGATAAACCTGGTAGACACTGCTTTTACCAAGTGATGGAAGTTAGTATCACCAGTAATGGGAAGAATGGACCTCATGTGCCTCTCTGACATTTGTTACCAAAAATGTATCATTTGTTAAAAGTAACTTTTAAGAAGAGTCAGCTCGTTTTCTTTACCTTGGCTTTCTTGGCTAATTCCTTGACATTGGCATAGATCTTTTTCTTAATAATCAGAATTCAATGGGATCCGTGCCCTTGTATACATACCTCCCCCTTGTCTCTGGCCCTTGCCTTCAAAATGTGTACCCAGTCCGTACAAGCCCATCTCAAGAGCCATTTACTATGAAGATCCTTCTTCAGGAATGAAAGGGGAAGGATTCTCTGGTGGCCGGTGCTGGCTGTAGGAGGCAGCAGAATTTCCAGTGCTGGAAACAAATGGGGTCCGGAACTGCCCAGGGGCGGGGAGATCAATGCGTGACCTCGAATGAGTTCTGCATTAGGGAAAGGAGTGGGCTCAAGCTTAGTTGAATGAACAGCTGTGTTCATCCTTAACCCCTTCTCACCCAACTGTCTCCATGGCAACCAAGCCCACCCCTAGAGACCCACCTCCTGTGGCAGCTTCATGGAGGACAAGTCTTACAGCCGATGTAAGAATTGCTCAGTCTGCATAAACTTCAGGTTCGAGCCCCCCTCAGGACCCAGCATCTGCTCCTTCTCAGCCAGCCCGTGGTGTGATAATGATGCTGTCCTCCGTGGGAGGCATCCCAGGCTGCTCCCATTCTAGTTGTCATCCGGTGTCTGTGCATGTGTCACCTGTTCAACCCCGGGGACAAGAGACGTGCAGAGCTTTCGAGAGGCCGTGAGATGCCTGGCCCACCTGGAAGCTGTGCTTCCAGAACTGCTAGGGCCTCAAAGAGGAGGACGTTACAAGCCACCCGCTAGAAAGGAAGGCCCAGAAGCAACATTTTCTGTTGAGCTGGGAAGGGGCAGCATTGGCAGAAAGGGAAAAAGACACCAAATATGTGGTTGGGGAGAAAAATATAGGAAGGGTCGAGGGGCTCTAGAGCTCACATGACAGAGGTCTCCACTTAAAGTGACTGTGTTGGTCCACTGGGCTTAGACAACAGAAATGTATTGTCTCACAGTGCTGGAGGCTGGAAGTCCCAGATCCAGGCGTCAGCAGGGTTGGGCCCTTCTGAGGGCTGTGAGGAGAATCTGTTCCATGCCTCTCCCCTCACTTCTGGTGCTTTGGGAAAGCAGGAGTCTTGGCATTCCTTGGCTTGTAGATGCATTGCCTTCATCTCTGCATGACATTCCTTCATGTGTCTGTCTCTGATTTGTTTGTTTGTTTAAATAAGGATCCCAGTCATATTGGATAAGCGCCCACACTAATGACCTCATTTTAACTTGATTACCTCTGGAAAGGTACCTGTCTCCAAATAGGTCACATCCTGAGGTAATGGGAATTAGGGCTTTCACATATGAATTTGAGGAGGATAAAGTTCAACCCATAACAGAGCATTGCAATAAATAAGTATTCATTTAATGAGTGACTGCTGCATGCAATGCACTGTGCTAGGCTTAGAAGCTATCACATGGATAAGTTAGTTCTGTGAGGGGAGGCAGGGGGTGCAGTCCTTCACTGCAAAGCCCCAGCCTATCCCTGAACATGGGCCACCTGGAGGAGGCTGGAATCTGCTTGCCCTGCAGGCCACTCTGCTTCCTCCAAAGGACCTAGGACAGAAATTTCTCATCTACACCCTTTGCTATTGTCTCTGTTTAGAAGGAGAACTACAGCAGGGACCCAGGTCTTGACACCTAACAAGGACACTTACCTCAGGCCAGGGACGTGAACAGACATGATCCACATCCTAGTTCTGGGAGTATTAATAATAGCCAGACTCTACTGTGCACCAGGACCTTTGCATACCTA